TTAATTCTTTTACTTGTAATGCGTTCGTTTTGTAAATCTTGAGTTTTTTTATATCACTGAAGAGGGTTCATGATTGAGCCGAAACGTTTGATTATTTATATTGAGTATTTATGTTCAATAAATATTGCTCTATTTCCTAACACAAGGAAGGTTTTACCCATATGGTACATAGCACTATTAATCCTGTGCTTGAACTCGAATTAGCCCTTTTTCCTATTATTTAAATGATATCATTGTTATTGAGTTCTTATTTTGTTTCTCTTAATACTTACGTTTACGTTTTTCTCTGCCTTATTTTAGTCTACGTCTACGACTACGACGCTTACGTCTCGTTCATCTGCTTTAGCCTTTACAAATATTTTGTTTGTAGCAACTACTTTTTGCACCTATATTCAGTACATGCCAGTGAGTGTATAATAATTAATTTACATATTTACATATATTAATTTATTGTTATTCACAGTTATTTATATTTTGTGAAATTAATTATATAGTTTTATATAATAGGGCAAAGAAAGGGAATTGGTGTTAAAATAACTTTACATATATAAAATTTTCATTTGTATCAATAGTAAATAGATTTATACGAAGTATATTTTATCTTTAAGTTTGTATTCATGTTACTAAAATTCATATACAGTTCTAACAAACTCAATCGCATTATTTGAAAGACATTTATTCTTGGATTTTGAATTACATATTTGAAAGTACGCTTTACTTACATTTGAAGCTCAGTTAGAACAGTATATATCCAGCGAAAAATGATTTGTTGATTGACGTCAAAATAACATCAAATAGACGTTGAAATCGTCAAACCGACGTCAATTTGATATTATTTTGACGTCAAGCAACGAATCATTTTTCATTAGGTATATAGATGTCACAAACATGAAATTTTAAATAGCTCAGTGGAAAGAGCGGTTGTTTGGCAAGCGGAAGACCCGAGTTGGATCCCAGCCAAGTCTGATGTTTTTCATCTCATATGAAATAAATCTCATATAAATCATTAAAAGTAGACATCTACAGATACACACAAGCCCCCCGGCCAAAGTTTCTCATCTTTCTTTCGTGTGGATACAATAAAATTTATTAAATTCGAAGAAATCTTTTTGAGTTGAAGTAATTCTACATAAATACTCTAAGAAGTTCTGAGGAATTCCAATCATGGTACATGTAATTTCCTAAATTATTCTTATAGTATTCTTCCACGAATTCCTAAGGAAGTGTTACGTCTGGATGTTACGTCCTGGTGAAGAACGCAACACGACGTAAGGTCTCGATCGTACTAGCAAGTCGAGTTACGAGTCAACGACCAGAAGGATCGCTTTACGCGTGTACCGACGTACGACGAGTGGTCCTTTTTCGATCAGAGAACTGAATCTCTTTATCGCGGACGGACCGAGAGCGGATAAGAGAAATGAAGGGGGAAAAGGGAAGGATTCGAAAAGAAATTGTGATATAATTTGAATTGGAATTTAGATAATTCTTAACGATTACATTTATTTTCCTCGCGGGGTTGTTACAATTTTTATTAACTACTAGCACGGAGACAAAGTACGCGCGTGTGTGTGTGTTTGTGTGTGTGTGTGTGTGTGGACTTCTGAGTGAGGGTGAGCACTAATGTTCAGGATTATTGGGAGGTAAAGAGAGTGAAAAGTTCTAGGAGTCTAGGAAGGAACCTGTGCGTAATCCGGGACAAATACTGTACGCGAGCTACCCGGAGTTAAAGTTTTGATATTGAAGAAAACGAGTAACAAACTATAACTTACTGTTGATGTGCGATTTGGAGGAGAGAGTAACTGTTGCTGGATTTCTCAGTTGGGTCCCTTTCGATCCTCGTCTGGATAGAACCTGGTGTTTGTGTGTGAGGGTTGTGGACGATCGCACGATGAATACAGCAATAAGCACAGAGAGTTGAGTAGCTGAACTCTTAGGGTACTTGGATTTTTCCTCAGTAGAAGTACAAGAGAAGTCCAAGAGAAGTGACGTGAAGTCCAAGAGAAGTGACGTCCAAGAGAAGTGAGGTAAAAAGAGAAGTGAGGTAAAAAGAGGCCGAGGTGCGCGGAGTCGCGCTTATATACGATATCAACTGGAAATGGTTTGGTAGGGAAGATGTGGAAATTTGGGGGTTCCTAGGTTGTTGGATTCGTCAGAGAAAATGGTATGGGGGACTGCTGTATCCAGTAGTAAGTAAGTGGACAGTGTTAAGGAAATCTTCTTGGCTGGGGTTGTGGGTGGAGAAAATCATACGTTTCAAAAGAGAAGGTTATTGGAGGATTTTTAAGGTGGTGAGGGAATCAGCAGATGAGGCGGAACCGGATAACGTAAGCTAGAAAATGTAACGGACATAATTTTTTGTTATCCAGCGGTTCCTTTGATCCCAAGGATAAGGTCCGGTGAAGTTTATTTTGCGGATTAAGGAGTTTTAGTGCTGTATTTCCCAGGGTTATTTCGGAATTTTAGTCGGAATTTTTATTGGGGAAAGACAAAAAAAAAGGTCTTACGATTCGGAATAGTTTGTTGTTTCCTGACAGAGGAGGTAAAGATAGAGTGCATGACTCATGTCTGCACAGGACGTAACAGAAGTATAATTCAAGAAAGGAGAAAACTTTAGGAACACTTAAAGAATTCATTGTGCTATCTGGGAAATGATTAATTATTTCAGTTTTTACTTTTATAAATATATGTGGTTTTGGCTATATATTTAATATAAATTAAATATATTATTAATATATTAGTAATATATTATTAAATAAAAAATAAAATAATTAGAGAAATACAATAATGTTGAAAAAAATTATAATAACTTACACAAAAAGTACTTGGCGTGCCTTTTTTATAGGCAAATGGTTCTCTTATTTTAATAACTATCAAAATATTATATTGATTTTCGATGTAATATTAAAAAAAAGCACCAAGTGCCTTTTGTGTAAGTTATTATAATTTTTTTCAATATTATTGTTGATTATTTCTCTAATTATTTTATTTTTTATTTAATAATATTGTTCGAGATTCGAACCAACACGACGGTTAACTTCACGTCAGCGGGGACCGGTGACCGCTGCGGCAATCATTTGTTTGAGATAAACATCACTCGATGCTCTAATTAAGCACACAAGCGACGCACTTCGTCCTTTCTATGTTGATCGCACGTTCGTATCACGTGCGATCCCAGCATCGCGATGCCAGCGAGCCGTCAGCCGTCGTAAGGATCCGAGCGATCGCCATGGCAACGGATCGCACAAACAAGGATTCCGCGAATCGGCGGGCGGCTCGCGCCGCGAAAAGCTCGTGTTCCTCTACAAATGCCTAAATAAGGAAATGTAGACTCTCTCTCGTGGCGAAAACCGTTTCTCGCCTTGCTTCGCTGGCCCAATCCACTCGCGTCGTAGCCTTTTCAAAATCGGTATATATGCGACCGCTCAGCGCGGCTCTTCACTTCGATCTTACTTCTCCTCCTAACTCGAATCAGTGAGAATCAAGTTGGTTTTACACGAATCGGTCTGTTAAAAGCGTGGCGGGTTATCTCGAGCTCACATCCCACTGGGGATATCGCAGC